GCCCGTGCCATTCTTATACATGTTATACTAACATAAACCTTTAAAACCAACTCAAGTAGAGAGCCCGTTCAACTCTTGCCTCCTTGTCACAGCGCAAATGGTTCACTACAATTTTGGCCCATGTGAAAATCTATCTATTTCCCTTTTCTTTTAGCTGCCCTATGGAGCCTAGGGAAGAAGAGATTTTCCAGATTTTTCTTCCTGCTCGTTAAACCGAATATGTGCATCCATGGGACCATCCTTGTTAAACTTGACTCCTTCCCAATTCCCCAACGAAAGCTCTAACCTTTTCCAATGCCCCAGATTCCGATCCATTGTATATCTATAGTGGCCCTTCTTCTAGATTTCATGTCCTTAATTAATGAATGTTTAATTAGATGAATACCTCATGTACTTGATATCATGGCATTTAACAATCTCTTTGTGATACTACATACACACATTCTCTTTGTGATACAACATATGCGTATGTGCAGTAGTATGGACATTTTGATGATAAGGTATCCAATGCTATATCCCTACGGATTTACCATTTTTTTTGGGAATAAGGGTTTACCATTTTAGTATCTATAAGATCGACATCTAATGTGCAAAAAGACTAGTGCTTTATCTCCTGTACTTTTATTTGCTCTGAGGTGGAATGGTGGATTGCTCTTTGTTATAATTTGCCATCAGTGTTTGCAACATTTGACTTTTAAACCGTTCTACAGTGCAAATGGTGAGGGTGAGGTGGCTTCATGCATCAAAGACTTGAACTCCCCAAACTTCTACCCTGCCATGGTTTCTTTCTGGGTCACTGATTCCTTTGAAAGGAAGGACAAAGAGAAGGATCTCTTGGCAAAGCTTCTCACTAACCTATGCAAGTCCCGAGAAGGCCTGCTTACTGAAGCCCATCTCATTAAAGGGTGAGCACTCAAAAAATATACTCACTAAAAGATTCATAACCCAGAAACTCATTGAATCTATTTCTCATAAATGAATAAACAGAATTATTATTTTACATGTGAATGCCCCATATATCTAGTTCTCTTTGGACTTGTTTGTTAAAGTTGGGGATTTTGGTGCGTCAGCTGGTCAATGTAGTCAAGTGTGTTGTCCTTCCAAAAATCCATCTTAGAGATGGATTTTGGATCTAAAATTTGACAGGTTCAAATCTGGAAAATATATATTTGAAATCGTAAAATAGATTATTTCAAACTTAAGTTTTGGCCGATTTTGGATCATTCATTCTGATTCTTTTAAAATAATCTATTTTAAAGTTTAAAATCCGTTTCTTTTATTAGATTCATTATTGTGGTGGTCAGATTAAGAACCTAAGAAATTTTAGAACCAAAATCCAACTCTTTTAAGATTAATTTTTGGAATGGGACCACATTACTCCATTGAACGTTTCCCATTATTGAAGTATTCATTCTTCTTTTGATAGGTTTGAGTATGTTTTCTCAACTTTGGAAGATGCTATTTACGATGTTCCTAAGGCACCTGTTTTTCTCGGGCAAATTCTTGTTAAAGTAATTAGAGACAATGTGATTTCATGGAGTGAAGTAGGGTCGCTGATACTTAGAGGAGGCGAGGAGACAGGGCGAGGAGCCAGGGCGACTTGTCCAAGCTGGGCTTCCAATTCTTGGCAAGGTTCTTGAGATCATAGGTAATGAAAAGGGAAGCTCCTTGGATGATATTTGTTGAGGGTCCAATTTGAGATTAGAAGATTTTCTCCCTCCAAATTCTATAAAGCCAGGGAAGTTAAATGATTTGATCTTGAAGAAAAATATACAATGTACCCCGTGAGGAAATTTTTTTTTTTCTTTTATTTCATTTCTTTTTTAATCGATTCCCCAGTGAAGGAAATCTTTCTCTAGATTATTTGAGGAACTGCAGAGTAGCAGAGTGACTTCTTTTGTTCATCTTGGGTCTTATATATTGATCCCCTTTGTTATGTGTTTTTATTCCTCTTTAATAGCTTGTTAATTCAGTGTAGAATGAATATTTAGATGGCCTACTCCTACTGGTTCAGAAGATAATTCCCCAAGTGATGATTTTAAGCTGTATTTTGTATTGTTGAATTCGTGTCGTATTTTTCATAGGGCCTGAGGTCAAACTTTGTCTGTCAGCTATGATCACTCTCAAGTAAACTAGTCATAAAAAGCACTTCATTCTAGTGTTTTTTACGATACACATTTTCTTCATAAAAGTGCGTGCGAAGCATAGCAGCATTCCCGGTGAGTATTTTTATATTTCGATTGTTTTAAGTAGAGTTCAAAAAAGCTGACCACCCGACGCCTAGGTGCATCGCCTTGGCTTAGATGGGCAGACTGGACGGTAGTCCTTGAGCAGCCGTCTGGGCGGGCCGCTCAGGGCCTGCGCCCCGCCTATGGGTGGAACTTTTTTTTTGTTTCTATTGATTTTTTTTTTAAATATAAAAGGTTTGAAATGATGTGTTTAAGGTTCATTTGAAATCTAAACCCACAAGAACCTATTTTTGAGAGAAACCATGTTACAAAGAATGGATCCAAATATCAACCAGATAGATTTGATTTAGTTTTAGAGTTTTAGAAAGGATATTAATAGGGGCATTTAGAGGTTTAAAAACCACATTGCCGGTATTAAGGGGGATGTTGTCCAGTGTAAAAATGTTTTTGACGCTACCGGAGAGAAAATTATTAAATATTTGAGTTAAGAGGAGCACAAAAAGATAGAAAATGGTGTAGCAGCCAAGACTCTTAAGGCCTCATCTGTACATACTAGTAAGAGGGAGGTAGAAGAAGAGGAAGAGGCAGATTCAAAAGAAACAGAAGAGGACGAGCATTACATTGAAGAGAGAGATGACTTTGATGATGATGACATCAATTTCGATGCATATGATGAAGCTTACCTTATTCTTTATGATGTAGATGATGATGATGATGATGACTGAAGACTCTTGATGTTGAGTATTAAGTGTTGACTAATGTGTCATAGTCTCATAGACTGTATATTTTTTGAATTTCTGTATATTTTCTCTTCCTTATTTTTCATTTTTACTTTCTAGTTTTTAGTTCTACTTTCTAATTCTTGTGTGTACAGTCTACAATGTATCAGACTATCAGTGTATGTTTGTATGGTTTTACTGTTTTAGTATTGTATAAAAAATATGGATTATCAAAAATTTAAAATTATCTTCCTGACTTCTATCTTTTTTTTTTTTAACTGGGTTATCAAAATTCTTATGGATTAATCATTATTAGTCATATTTTTATTATTTTTATTATTTTATTTTAATTAATTAATTTATTTTTAACTGGGCCGCCCAAGTTCTGGGCGCCTGTCTTGGCGGCCACCTGGACCCATGGTTGCCTCGATGCCGCCTTGCACTTTTTGAATAATTGATTCATATAGTTTCAATATTAGCCCTCTCTCTCTCTCTCTCTCACTCATGACTCTACGAAGTGCTCACTTTTTCTTCATTAAAGTGCATGCGGAGCACAACAATATTCCTGGTGATACTGTTTTAGAGTGGGTTTTAGGAAACCCCTCACGATTATGAAAATTTTAATACTATACACGCATTCTCTCTCTCAAATGTGCATACAAAGAACTCACCTTTTCTTCCTAAACATGCATATGCAAAGCACCACAGCTCCTAGTGAGATTGTTTTGATTGATTTTTTTTTTTTTTAGGTTATCAATGTCAACCGTATACATGGCAGCACTACTTCCGGATGGATTTTTTTTTATGGGATATTTGTTGTAGATGCATATACCAATATACCAATGTTATTAGGGATTGTATACTATGAGAACATTTATCTTTGTTACAAGAAGGCTGCAATTATTTTTAATCATTAGATCCCAATTTGAAATGTAAGGTACTAGAGTGATATTGACCTCTTTCAACCAAAAGTAAATGGTCTCTTTGTGTATTTTTTGTACAGGAGATACATGAGGTTACAATCATTCTCACTCATTAGGCGTGGATGGTTTGGGATGAGTGACAAAGTCCAAGAAATTTATTTTTTTTGACACTTTGTGTCTATTCAATTACATTCTTACAACCACTCATTTGAACTCATTAGACGTGGATGGTTTGGGGTGAGTGACAAAGTCCGAGCATTTTTTTTTTTTTTACACTTTGTGTCTATTCAGTTACACTCTTATAACCACTCATTTGAAATTTAAGAGATAAAATGGTGGAGCTTTACAAAAAATAAATGGTCTTTTTGTAGGCAATCCCTTATTAGTAAAGGTACATACTGCATAGTTTACTATGGGGAATTTTGAGAAGTACTTCATTTTCTTGTTTTAGGTAAGATGGGATTTAACTTTAATAATACAGGTGGGATTCATATTGAATTGGATGGGAAGCATGATGATTAAATTAATATAGATAATAACCAACTGAATTTCCTTTATATTTACTTTGGGTTGTCTACCATGATACATGCAGCATACCCTTTAAAATGCTGGCGTGCCACCCGTTGTCAATTACGGAAAGTTTGTGTAAAGCATTGCATGTCAGCCATCTCTTGTTAACAGATCGCTGAAATCACCTTAACAAACTACATAATATTTGTTAACAGATCGCTGAAATCACCTTAACAAACTACAGAATATGATACATTTATCGTGCTATCTTGTCCTAGTATTTCCCTTTACAAGCCCAACGTTACAGTCGGTGATGTTTTTCTTTGGGTAGATTAGTGGGGATTACTTGTCCCTACATGCTTTGAAAAGCGTCAATTTTTTAAAGTGAGCGAGAATGGAGTTTGTGATTTTTAATTGGAGCTCAGGTGGTACTACAATCACGACCCCAACCCCATTCTAAAAAAATGTGAGTAGATGATAACTCAACCGTGCAATAGGAGATTATAGGTCAAGCATTCATTCTTTTTAAAGAGCTGTATCTTCCATGGTTCAGAATTGACATCCCCTGCGTTCTTGATTTAGAGATGTAGCATGTAAAAAGAATAGGGTATAGGGTCATAGTTCTTCCCACCACTTTAACAGGCATATTAGAAAAGCTCTAACCGGTGAATACTTGTACAATAGCATTTAAAAATGTCATACAAGCTTTGAGAGTCCATTTGTACATTTCCCTTCTAATAAATACATACCAAAAGGAGCTCTTCTTTGTCTCGTTTCCAATTCGAGAGGATGTCTCATATTCTTTCCATCTGTTATTACTATCCGATTTCCATTATACCGTCGTCTTTATTATCACCTTCCACAGCACCATGTTGTGCTAGGGTGCCATTTCTTTCATCTATTTCATTGAGTTCCACTTTTCGGCCATCTTGTGCCATACTATTACCCATTTTATCCATTTTCCCCCTTTCTTTTGGGGCGCAAAGGACAGTGCCATTTCCACCATCTTCTATTTCATTGACTGCCACTTTTCGGCCATCTTGTGCTGTCCTATTATCCATTTTCCCCATTTCCTTCTGCATTTTCGCCCTTTCCTTTGCTTTGGCCCAGAGTACAGAGTAGAGTCCAAGAATGACCAAGGTTGCTCCAATCAAACTGCAAAACTTAAGATAATCAAAATAAGTAATGACCAATGTTGCTCCTAATGAAACTGCAAAACTCAAGAAAATCGAAATAAGGAATCGAGGTCTTAAATTTGTGAAATCTTTCAATTTGAGGTCTTCTTGGGAAACTTGCAAGATGGCCCGAAATAACTACAAGTAATATAACCAACCATTTTAAAGGAAAATTTTGGGAGAAAAGCCTAGCACAGTCGGAATGTTTACTCTCCTGCCAAAATAAGAAAAATTATACAACAAAATATTTTATATTTGGTAAAATGAGGCCATATTTATCCTTGGTGTGAAACATGACGATTACATGTGTACTATTGATTGGGCTCAAAGTTAAAAAGAAAATGTTACGAACTTTGCGACAATGTTAGATCTTAGCTATGTCAAATATTGGTGATTGCGACCTCCTTCATCGTAATGGTAAGAAAAAAATAATTGTTTTATATCTATTTCTTCCAAATTATTGCACACCCACCTTCCAACATGAATTTTGACGCGAAACAGTATGGGCTCTAGGATAACCACCACCACGGTACTCACAGGATTGAATATCACTGCAAAGATGGGGCCTTTCTTCTTAATACACCAAGTTTGGACAAGGATTCCCATAGCGGAGCCCAAAATTCCCTGTATCAGATGTCAAATCAATTAAAATACTAATGCCCTACTACTTTATACAGATCGATTAGAATAAAACTTTGGAACATAGTGTTGTATCGTTGTGCTCCCTCAATATGATCCCACTTGTTATATTCTAAATATATATAAATTTTTTTCATAATTGATGGGTGAGGTAGGGGACAACTATAGCACATTAGTTGTATAAAATTCAATGGTGAGATCCATCATGATCGTAGCTTTTTTCTAACCATTTCAGGTTAGCTACTTGAATCTTGATAAGCTATTACGCTCTATCAAGGACCATGCTATCAGTGAAACCATAAAAAAATTCAATGATGAGGTGAATGTTAAAATATGTTTAAGTTTAAAAACTAACAATGACACGAATAGTGCTTCAATACAAAAACCTAGTGGTAAAATAGTCATTTTGAACCACGTGGGGCTGTACATTAGTGGATCAGAGAATAATTCCACATGATCATAGAGTAATGTGGACATGCTATAAGACTTTAAGATGAAAGCAACATTGTGAAGTTCAACTTAGGAAAGTGTACATGAAAGTTTACATGCTATAGTGACCTTATGCTCCTAAGATAAAACTAAACCCTAAAGTCTATACTGGAGTAATGAGATTCTTACACTGTAGGCATAGGTAAAGAGGTGAATGTCCCAGCCGAGCTTCCAACCTTTGGTCTTATCGAATATCAAGGCCACTATTGCAGACTGAACAGTAGCACATAAGCATACCATTGCAGAAAGAGATGCATGTGCTGGATAATCTTTGAAAGCCCATGCCTGTTAATGAGAGATATGAAATTTGCACCAATTAAAAAAAAAAATTATATGTAATAGAACTTGAAATCCCTTGGACATTGAGATAGAGATTTGCACTTAAATAGACTACAAATTCAAAAGTATAGCAGCCACATGATGTGGACGCTTGTGCACATGTACCTTTTCAATGGCTGAGATTTAATTTGCGCTGATTTGAGGGCCACAATTTGATTTTTAAATTTGACTTTTATTTTTTTACAAATTTAATTCACATAAAATTAGGGTGTCCATACATATCTCAATAAAAAAAAGGAAGACCCTAATGCCCTTGAAATATTAAAGGGTAGTTTTGTCAATTGTAATAATTTGATTTTTTTTTATAAATCTTTATGGGCTGCACCCTATAAAGTCTTTATAGATGTCCCAATATTTTTATATAAATAAATTTATAAAATATAAAAATAATGGGTTATGTTGGGTGCTCATAAGTATTCGTAAAACCGAGTGATTTAACCATTAACCGCACGGTTAGATCGGAACTGGCCATTGGTCGTTTCCGGTTTTGGGTAGTTTTGGTGATCAATCTGTATTTAAATATATTTTTTAAAAAAAGTACATAAATTCTCAAAAATAAATTTGTTTTGTAATGTATTTTTAATATTATTTCCATTATGGTAAAGATTAAAAATTGCTTTGGTCATTAATACTCGCTTTTATATTTTCCTATCTTTTTCAAAAAAGTTTAAAAATACCCCTAGGCACAAATCAATTTGTTAAAATCTATTTTTTTCATTAATTTTCAACATCATTTGAATATGTTTTGTTTTAATCATTCTTTGTATAATTTTCATATTTTAGTAAAAAAAAATTATATCTTTTTTATTTTTTTCAACACTTTTTTGACCTCCCTGGACTTGCCCGGTCTGAGCGGTTGAATCAGCTGGTTTACTGGTTGCACCGGTTAAACCACTTCCAAGCCTATGTCTGGTTAATCGGTTAATCATTCCAGTTCAATTTTGCAAACACTAGTACTCATATATATGAGCATTTATTTTAGGGTGCAGTTTGTATAAGGCATAGGCTCTAAACAATCAAATTAGAGCTTACCTTCAAATAGTATTGAGAAATGTGGTTTCAATACTGAAATCTTTGTGATAGCATTAAAATATAATTTTATCTTTATTTATAAGTTTAAAGCTTCAAAAATAGTGTTGATCAATAGATCTATGAAAACTTGAAAATCTTGAAAATTGACGGTCCAAAAATGAGATACAAAATATGCTATTTTCAAAACTTGAAATCCATTTATTTTCTCATGCCCATACATCTTGATGTCGAGATGATCAATTTGAAGATATTTGAGCATCAAAGCATCTTCTAGTGAAAATTTTGAAGTAGGTTCAAATTTGATTGTTGAGAGCCTCAGTTCTATATAAACTTTTTCCTTTATTTAATATGCTCAACATTTTTAGACGCTGCGTACTCTTACTTCAAGATGTAGTAGCATTTTTGCTTAGGGGTACTTTATGTAATTAAATAAGGGTAAAATTGAAATTCTTGATAGAAGAGTATTTATTACCTATAGTGGTAGATGACATTATCATGAAACAATGATTGCTTTTTAACTGCTATTATATGTCACTACTTTTCATAAAAATATCTATCTTACCCCTCTAATTATAAAAAATATCTTTACTAAAAAAATTTGTATTACAAAATAAGGGTACATGAGTGTCCAAAAAAGTAACTAC